GGTATGGTATAAAGTTTATTCATTTTAAAAAGTACATAATAATTCCATAACAATATAAAAAAGATACAAAGATTTAAAATGAAAGGCAGCAGAAAGAAGAAAAAAATCTTATTATATCTGCCCCTTTTTTCAAACAATTATTTCAATCCAAAAAAGTTCTATCTGGTCCTCTCCTCTGGACATTCAAAAAAAACAAAAAAAAAAAAAAAAAAAAAATTATTTCAATCATAATAATTTTCAAGTAACAGAACAAAATGAATAACTCTTTCTAATTTTTCTAATTCTAATACAAAGCACACACTAAGCTACTTCATATATACTTTTTTAATAATTCAGCTTTGATCTTTTTCTTAAATGTACACATTGACTTGGCATTTTTAACATCACTCTCTAGACCATTCCACAATCCAACTCCTTCCCTTCAGACTAGTTCTGAATTTTGGTTTGACAAATATCTCTATCCCCTTAAGATTATAACAACTTTGTCTTTTAACAAAATTCCTTTGGATATTTAATGGTAATGTGTTATTTTGAGCCCTATACATAACTGATAAAATACTGTAATCTGAATGAAATGTAATGAAATTATTCTATATGCTTAATCAAACCAGACACAAGATGCAATGTGAAAAATTTTGTTATTTCATCAGGGCAGATTAATTATGAAATTTTACTAAAAGAAATGCGTTTTATCGTCCACTATTTAAAATTTGGTCTGAATTTAAAGAAAAATAATTACTGAACTGAGTTAACTAATTTGGTTAAAAATCTAAATTCTTGAACACCGAAGTCAACCTGTCAGAGTATCAGCTCAGCTTTTTCCTACCAGGATTTGTCTTCAAAGGCTGCCAGAAGATACCAGAGATTTGACTCTCTATGATCCAATGGTCTGCTGATGTAAAGTTGTAATACTTCACATCTCTGACCTCAGCACGATGAGTTGGTTCACTGGCTCGAAAGGTCAGCCTGGAGCGTTCCCTGGAATCCTGGACAGCTGATGTTAACTCTTTGATGAAAACTGCAGGTGTTTTGATTGCTGAAAAGGATTCTATCAAACTTTGCCCAAAGTTGAAGCTTATTTTCTCCTTGGAAGTCTTCTGAAGGTTGAGTGTCTTAGAGCTTGTATCTCTTCCTCGGGAGGGGTTCGTCACTTTATCATCATTTCTTTTCTCCCTCTCTGTCTCTTCTGAGAGGTCTTCCTCTCTTGTAAAACAAATGACCATACCTCTGATTTGAAAGAGGTGGTAGATTTGAACCAATCAAAAGGAAAGGGCTGAACTTTTATCTACTCAATAAAGTATTATTGTAATCTGCTCTGTTGAAAAAGTCATCAAATAAAATAATTTAAGACACTTATCAACTTTAAATGAGGTTAAACAATATAAACACTTTGTCAACCTTATAAACAGAAAACAAGCTTGTAAACTTTTGGCCTACACAGGTTATTGTCAGCTGTAAAGGAACAACAAGGCAGTTATTCAGCTACACCCAATTAAACACTTATTTCATTACAAAACCAGTATTACTTCTTCTAAAACGTGAATAAAAAAGTCTGTCAGTTTTCTTGCAGGCCAGAAATGGGACCTAAATGTCAAAGTTGGAATTCCTTTGAACAAAGAAGAAGCTCTCTGTTATTTATGATTGTTGAAGGGATAGTCTGAGGGAGGCTGGTACAAGTGGGTACCAGGACATCCTGGAGTGATCTGTGTTAACTCAAACATCCATTTTGTGGAGCTCACAGAAAGGGTGTTCCAATATTATTCAGATTTATGGATCCTTGGGTTGTCTTACCAACCATAAAAGTCTTCTTTTGACACTTTCCAGAGTTAGAAATGCTGAAAACAAACTTTAAACTGTCCCAGGTTCAGAAGTGGGGGTGGGATGTCTCAGTTGTTCAAAGGATGAAGAGTTTTTTCTATTTCAGAAACATCTTTACAGAATGAACTGCTTAGTCACAGAAATAAAAGGTCTGTTACAAAATGACATTCAGGGATGCAGGTATATCTCTACAATGGCATGATCCTCCAGGAAGCACTTCAACTGAGACTCAACTGTTTTCTCCAGTATTTTAGAAACAAATGGGAGTTTGGAGACAGGCCAGAAGTTGGAAACGACTGAGGGGTCAAGGTTTGGTTTTTTCAGGAGAGGTTGGACAGCAGCATGTTAAAAGATTTTTGGCACCACGCCAGTGCATTAACTACTGTTTACTATAGCCAGAATGGATGGACCTAGAGTAGGACAAACCTCCTTTAGTAGTCGAGGGGGGACCACATCAAAGGGGGAACCAGAAGGTTTCAAGCTTCACATGACCTGCTCTAGAGAACATAGAGTGATGGGTTCAAAATGGTCAAATAGAGCTACAGATTGAGGTGGGATGGATGGGTCATGAGTTGGAGGGGAAATGAGAGCCCGGGTAGTCACAGTTTTTTCCAAAAAGAAATGTAAGAAGTTGTCGCACAGCTCAGTCGAAGCTTCCAGAGGTGATGGTTCAGTGAGGTGGAGAACAGAGTTTAGGGTAGAGAAGAGGACATGTGGATTGTGAGAGTTTGAGGTTATCATATCAGAAAAGTGTTTGGATTTAGCAGCTTTTAGTCCTTTCTGATAACGGCGCCAACTCTCTCTCAAACATGATACACCCCGACAAAATCATGGCGCAAATTTATGGCACAACACCAACAAACTGAATTTAGACACTCACCAGAATGTCTGGAACAAACCAGCAGCAGGTATATTGGGACGCTGGAGAAAGTTATATCAGGACGTCTCACCGTCTCCTTTTTGTTACGTCCTACACATGAGCTCCTCGCGTTGTTTCCTGGTGGATAATCTATTTAAAAAATATTCCGTTTTTGATCTTTTTACAATTCCAGTCTTGTGACCGGACATTACATCCAATAACGCAGCAATTTCTCTCAAATCAAAAATTACCTGGACTCATTTAACATCTTACCTCCACATCAATCTGGTTTCAGGAAACAACACAGCACAACCACTGCTTCACTGAAGGTTCTTAATGATGTTGTTGAAGCACTGGATGCTAAGGATTATTGTGCTGCACTTTTCTTAGACCAGTCTAAAGCTTTTGACACTGTGGATCATAACATCTTGTGTCATAAACTCTCAGAAATTGGTTTCTCAGAACACACCATTGGTTGGTTCTCTAACTGTCTCTCAGACCGGAGGCAATGTGTTCAATATAATGGTACTTCCTCCAGTTACTTAACAGTCAACAATGGTGTACCACAAGGCTCAGTCTTAGGACCCACCCTCTTTACAATCTACATACATAATGTAGGTAAAAACATCCCTAATGCATCCATACATTTCTATGCTGATGACAGAGTTGCTTATTGTCGAGCTAAAACTGTTGCTAAGGCTTTCCAGCTTTTGAAATCTGCATTCAACATCATCCAGACTGATTTGTTTCGCCTCAAACTTGTCCTAAATGCCGACAAAACCAAAGGGATGCTTTTTTCAAATAGGAAGTTGGTCCCAGCAGTTCTTCCTCCGATTTTATCCTCAAATGGTGTCCCCATTGAGTTTGTTGATTCCTATAAATATTTGGGTATCTTGGTCGACTCACATCTCTCTTTTAAGCTTCATGTGGAAAACTTGATAAAGAAACTGAAAGTTAAACTGGGTTTCTTTTTCAGAAACAGATCCTGTCTAACCCTGAATGCTAGAAAACGCCTTGTATCTGTGACTTTCCTTCCCTCAATTGATTATGGTGATATTATTTACATGAACGCTCCTACAAGAACCCTGCAGATGTTGGATGCTGTCTATCATGGTGCACTAAGATTCATAACTGGCTGTGATTATCGTACCCACCACTGCACCCTGTATTCACTGGTTAACTGGACATCATTAACTTCACGCAGACTCTCTCACTGGTATATTTTCATCTTTAAATCACTTCTTGGTCTGTTGCCTTCATACATCTCCTCCTCCATGTCTCTGCGTGAGTGCAGCTACGGAGTGCGCTCTCAGGACATTATTACCTGCAGTGTTCCCTCAATGAGGACTGAACTAGGCAAAAGGGACTTCTCCTATTCCGCTCCTGTTTCCTGGAATATCTTACAAAAAGATTTGAAGCTCTCGACTTTGACCTCTCTAAGTGTCTTTAAGAATCTGTTGGACACCTGGCAGGGTCCAATGCTGACATGTTCCTGTTTTTAGTTTTCTACATTTGTCTTGGAATCTAGCTGTTTTTTGTTTTGTTACCTTTTCCTTTTAGCCATCCTATTTGTTAAAAAACAAACAAAAAAAAAAAACTGTAGTATGCTTTTTTATAACTGTTTATTGTTGTTGCTGTTGTCCATTGTTGTCATGTTTCTTTGTTGAAATCAGGTCTCTCTTGTAAATGAGTCCTCGAGGCTCAATGGGACTTACCTGTATAAATAAAGGTTGATTGATTGATTGATTGAATTTCGGACCATCGCTAAACTGTTTTAACCTACTTAAAGAAAAAAAAAGTCAGCGAGAAAGCTTATTTTCGACAGGTAATATGGAGGACTGTAAAAACGGTGGATCCAACCCCATCCTCTCCCATCAGCCGCCGCGCCGCGGACAAGTGACGTCACACTCTAAAGCTCTATAGGGTGACTTTTCCAGCTTAGCCCTGTGTAAGATATGACTGAAACTGTAATTGTGGATTATTGGAACATTCGCAAAAAAACATGAAGTCACAATAACTCCCGTCTGGAAGGTCGGATTTCGTGTATACTTGTAAGACCTGGATCTGGACTAGTACTGACATGGATGGAAGGCAATTTCAAAGAGTCAGAAAATGCGCCTCGTGGTGAACGCCTGTGGGATTGGCATGAGAGCGTTCATGATGGTGACTGGGTGGAATGGCTGGAGCTCACGCGGTCGCGGTATGGCCGGAGCAGCGCTTTGCTGCGAGGGCCTTCAATGCTGCTTGCAGCTTTAATTATTTATGTTTTTGTATTTATGTTATTCATATTGTGAATGTATTGTGATGTTTATCACTTCACCAGAGAGAATGTGGATCGGGCATCAGATGAGCGTAAGTATGAAGAGGAAATCTTGACAGAAGTTTTGGAATTGGAGGCAGAGAGTGAAGGGGAATACCAGAAGAAGCTGGCAGAGTACCATAAGCAGCTGGATGAGTGGAAGCTCTGGAGAAAGAAACAGGTGCTTGAAACTGGTGTAGACAAGCTCAGTTTATTTCTCCTGATCACTAGCAACAAAAGTTAATAGAATGCCTGGGCAAAGTGGTTCAAAATATCCCGATGCATGCTCAATAATCCAGGTAGAAAAATATGAAAAAGTTAAATCTGGTCCTCTGGACATTCAAAAAACAAAACATAGCAAAACAAAAAAAAAAAAGTAGAAACGTTTCGTCTTTCATCCGAAAGACTTCCTCAGTTTGAGGTGTTGTATTCAGCTCAGTCTTATAAATAGCATCTTCTCAGAGTGGATCAACCAGTTTTGCTGCTGACAACCAAAACCAGCTGTTCACATGATCAAGAAGGACCATCAGCCTAACGATGGATCATTAGCACACTGATGGCTGTTTACTATTCACAGGCGGCTGAATGATACTAGTAATAACAGCATTGGGGGACAGTTGAACCCGGAGGCCTCCACCCCTGTTTAATGATGGACGATTTCTTTTCACAAAAATGGCCTCCTTTACTCCTCTCTCAAATCATCGTTCCTCTCTATCCAGGATGTGAACATCTTCATCCCTGAAAGAGTGACCGCTGGCCTGGAGATGAGTAGACCACTGAGTCCTGGCCTGATGTTGTTGCTCTTCTGTGCTGGGCCATCCTTTTGGCTAGTGGCTGTTTAGTTTCCCCGATGTAAGACTGATCACAGCCCTCCTGACACTGAACAGCATACACAATATTACTCTGTTTGTGCTGGGGGACTGGATCTTTGGGATGAACCAGTCTTTGCTGTAATGTATTTTGGGGTTTAAAAGCCACTGGGATGTTGTGTTTAGAAAATACATGTTTTAGTTTTTCTGATACTCCCTCAACATACCGAATGACCAGTGGGCTGGGTCTGGGTTCCTCCTTTTCACCTGATGGCTGACTGGAGTCCTGTTTGGGTTTCTTTTCTGCTTTCAGGAAGGCCCAGTTAGGATATCCACATTGATCTAGAGCCTGTCTTGTGTGGGATTTCTCCTTCTGCCTGGCTCCTGAGGACGCTGTCTGCTCTGTGGTATAGAGTCCTGATGACTCCTAACTTGTGCTCCAAAGGGTGATGGGAGTCAAACTGCAAATACTGGTCTGTGTGGGTGGGTTTGTGGTACACCACTGTTTGCAAATGTCCTTTATTAGAGACTGAGACCTCACAGTCCAAGAAAGCCAACATGCCATTTTTTTCTACATCTTTTCATGTGAACTTGATGTATTTATCCACAGAGTTGATGTGGTCAGTAAAATGTTGGACTTCCTGAGATTTAATTTTAACGCAGGTGTCATCAACATACCTGAACCTATGACTTGGTGGTGTCCCTGAAAAGAATGTCAAGGCTCTCTCTTCCACCTCCTCCATGTACAGGTTGGCAACAATAGGAGAAACTGGAGACCGCATAGCACACCCATGTTTCTGCCTATAATATTGCTCCCCATATGTGAAGTAGGTTGACTGCAGGCACAGTTTCAAGAGTTGAAACAGTTGCTCTGTGGAAAGCGTGGTCCTGCTGCTCAGGGTGGTGTCTGATTTTAATCTAAAAATGACCACCTCTACTGCATCATCAGCAGGAATGCATGTAAAGAGTGATGTGACATCAAAAGAGACCATTGTTTCATCAGTCTCCATGATGACATCCCTCAGCTTGTCCACAAAGTCCATGGTGTTCTGTATGTGGTGTTCTGAGCTGCCAACTAAAGGGATGAGTACAGACACCTGATATTTGGAAACATTGTAAGTGACAGAGTTAATCATGCTAACAATTGGTCTTAAAGGTACACCTTGTTTGTGGATTTTAGGTAAACCATACAGACTAGGTGTGGTCTCCCCTGGGTACAGTCTGTGGTACAGAAAACGGTCAATAGCTTTGTCCTGCTCCAAAATTTTCAGGCAATCTATCAACTTCTTCCTGTAACCACTTCCTAGATCTCTTTTCAGAGGTTCATAAGTGTTTAAGTCACTAAGGAGTGCCATAACTTTCTCATAATAGTCTTTCTGGTTCAACATGACTGTGCACCTTCCTTTGTCTGCTGGGAGAACGATGATGTTTTTGTCCTTGCTATGAGTGTTGAGTGCATTCCTCTCCTCTCTACTGATGTTGGAAGGTGGTGGTTTGGCATTGCTGAGGCAGGCTGAAACTTTGATTCTGAGTTGTTCTGCTTCACCCTCTTTATTTTTGTTGTTGTGGATGGCTGATTCTGTGGCTGTGATCATCTCCACCAGAGAAATTCTACTTTTGATGCAACCGCAAAGTTCAGTCCCCTGGCAAGAATCTCTGTCTCCGGCTGGGTGAGCTGTCTGTCAGATAAATTCTTCACCCACTTTTTTGTCTCCCTGGCATGTAATTTTCTACTGTAGTGCTGTCTTACACTGAATGCGTTGTTATTGGAATTGTGATGGTGTTGATGAGTTATTAGTAAGTTAAACTTGTTTTGTTGTCGAGTCTTGGACTTGACATGCTGTGCTAAGCGTGCCTGATCTGTACAGTCCATCACTTGCTGAAGTGTGGTCTGATCAAGGCACGTTGTTAGTTGTATTTTAATGTGCTCTTCTTTGGCCTTCAAGGCCTCAATAGTAAAATTGGTCAGTCTCACCCGTTCATTCAGCAGCTGAAATCATCCATCATTAAACAGGGGTGGAGGCCTCCGGGTTCAACTGTCCCCGTATCACTCAGCCTCCTGTGAATAGTAAACAGCCATCAGTGTGCTAATGATCCATCGTTAGGCTCATGGTCCTTCTTGATTATGCAAGCAGCTGGTTTTGGTTTTCAGCAGCAAAACTGGTTGATCCACTCTGAGAAGGTGCTATTTATAAGACTGAGCTGAATACAGCACCTCAGACTGAGGAAGTCTTTCGGATTAAAGACGAAACGTTTCTACTTTTTTTTTTTGCTTTGTTAAGTTTTTTGAATGTCCAGAGGACCAGATTTAACTTTTTTAGATAAGTAGAATGCCACTTATATTTATTTATTTATTTAGGGCGGCTGTGGCTGAGTGGTTAGAGCAGTCGTCCTCCAATGCAAGAGTTGGGGGTTCGAATCTACCAGCAGTCACATACCGAAGTATTCCTGGGCAAGACACTGAACCCCTGATTGCCTCTGATGTCTGTCCCATCAGTGTATGAATTTGATCTCAAAGCACTGATTAGTCTCTTTAGAATGATTTGTTCAATTAGCTTTGTAGAGTTCTAGTAGAGTGCTGTATGAATGGGTTAATGAGGACACATATTGTACTCTAAAGCACTTTTGAGTATCTGGATAAGATAGAAAAGCACTATATAAGTGCAGTCCATTTACCATATTGTTTCAAAACCAAGAAAGCTTTGTTTTGGTAGCACTCCACATTATTATTTGTATACATTATTTTTACCAATGTGTCTGATGTTTTCAGAAAGCCATAAAGAAAAAGAAGAAGAAGAGGAAAAAAGGTCTGGCACAGGATGACACAGAAGAAGATGATCAAGACATGAAAGGAAGTGAATCTGAAGGGCCCTTTGAGGAAGGTCCCCTGAAGCCAGAGCCTCCGGAGAAGCCGGACCTTGGTTCCATAGAGCAGCAGGTGAGAGAAAAAGCCTCAAGGATACGCAGAAAGGCCGGAGAGGCCATCCTAAACCCAGAGCTGTCTACATCAGGAAGCATCACTGCCACTGAACTCTGCCCCAGGTAGGCCTTTTAACATACCAGCTAATACATCTACAAAACTATATTATTCCTCTCAATGTCCACATTTTACTTTCCTTTTTTAAAGATAACAGAAGAATACTGTTAATTTTTACTTATTGTACATTCATCATGTTTGTTTTCTTTCTGTCTAAGGGCTGAAATAGCTCGAAGAGAAGATGTTTTGAGGCGTTCACTTTTCATCAAGATCCTGTACAATGACAAGGAAGTTTCCAGAACAGGCAGCTGTTTCCTGAATGCTGACTTCAGGGTGCACTTTGGACAGATTTTCAATCTCAAGATCCTTAACTGTCCCCAAAGCATTATTCTGCAGGCACGATGAAGCTGAATCTATGCAACAACTCTAATTTATAGGTGTCCGTTTTAGTCTTTTTAACAATTTCTGTGTTTGCGTGTACCGTGAATAGGTGTTTGAGGAGACTGGGTCCTCCTGCTCTCTCCTGGCTCAGGTCTTTGGGCCAGTACCAGATCCTTCGGTTGTTACAGGCAGTGCCCCTATTGAGAAGTTTGAGTTTAGCAGCAACCAAAGAGTAATGTTTGACCATGAGGGAGTTGGAAGTGGTAAGTGTCTTCATCTGACTTTAATAAAAAAAAAGTTTGGTTATGTACTGTAACCCCAGATTCTATGAGTATAGGCATCACCCTTTAAGGCTGTCGCTGGTGGGTTTCATCCCGTTGCGCGAAGCGCAGCACTGAAAACTTTAATCTATGCCCACCTGCTGTGTGGGCCTCACCCGGTCCGTATAAATTACGGTGAGACTGGGTAATCGGCTCCCAAATAGCTTTTTTATTCAGCCATTTAGGAACCAGTGAGGCCCAGAGTTTAAAGGGCTACGCCTATACTCATAGAATCTGGGGTTATAGTACGTAACCAACGTTCTGTTTTGTACAGGCTTCGCCCTTTAAGGCTGTCGCTGGTGAGTTAAAGGCAAAACAGGATGTAGTCTATGTCTCACTGGGTCCGTTCAGACACAATATGAAGCACCCGCTTGCACCAAAAAACATTTCATCACTCAGCCTTCTATGAGCGTAATTATGCGCTGCATAATTACGCGCACCATGCACAGAAGCGCGCTGCGTAATTAGGCGTTCCTTGCACAGGAGTGCTCCGGAGAGAAAAGTTTTCGATGGGGAAAAAGGGAAAGTCAGAAAGCAGTTCTGCTGCTGAGAGTGGGAAAGAACAGAGGTTACAATTGTAACCGTGTAACAGTGAACAGAGCAGATCAACAGCTCTTCAATATGAACAGATTATTAATGAATGAACTGATTAATAATCAAATGAACTGATTGGTAACAGTAGTCATGAACTGATTAGTAACAATAGAGAAAAGCAGTCACAAAACTTGTGACTGATAATAAATATCTCACACTGAAATTGCATGCAGTCAGATGTGAGTTTAAATGAAATTCCATGAAAACAGTAAGATTCATTCTGTTAGAACACTAAGAACAGAATGGGCCATGGAACAGGCCGAAACATCACGCAGATAAAAGCGAATAAATGAACAAGGCGATGACCAAGCGGCCGCCGTACAAATATCCTGCACTGTCATACCATTATGCAAAGCTGTCAAAGATGCAATTCCTCTGGTGGAATGAGCTCTGAGGTTCTCAGAAGGCTCCAATCCTGATGCTCTGTAAGCTTCAGAAATGGCCTCACACAGTCAGTGTGACAGATGTTGAGTGGATAACGGGCGACCTGCAGAGACGTCTCTATAATGCACAAACAGACGCTGAGTCTGACGCAGTGTGGCCGTGTGTGTTATGTAACATGCCAGCGCACGCACAGGACAGGAAATTAAAAGATGCTTTTTCTTCTGACTTATGAGGAGGAGGATAAAATCTCTCCAGCATTATCAGAATCAGAATGCCTTTATTGTCATTATACGCAAGTACAATGAAATTAAGAATGATCATTCTCGATTTAAATGAACTTGTGATGTTTTTAGGCATAAAAGCTGGATTAGGTCTCAGCGCAGCTGAGCTGCTATCAGCTTCAATCCTGAGGCATGACGAGGCAGCAGAGAGTGCAGATAAATCACTCACTCTCTTTGCAGATGTCAAAGCCAACAGCAGGGCTGTTTTAAGTGACAGGAATTTAAGTGAAACCTGATCTAAATGTTCAAAAAGAGCTTTGATCAGGGCTCGCAGAACCATCGTTGGGTCCCACTGTGGAGCTAGTGGGCGTGACACCGGTCTGTGTCTCTGTACACCTTTCAGAAAACACTTAATCAGCGGGTGATTAAAAACTGTTCTGTCACCGAAGCTTTCATGACCGGAGGAAATAGCTGCAGCATATGTTTTAATTGTGCTGAACGCTAGATTTCTGTCCATCAGCTGCTGCAGAAAGGACAGCACGCCACCTAGTGGACATGAGATGGCCTCTACAACTTTTCCGTGCACTAGCGCTGAAAAGCTGTCCACTTTGATGTGTACAGCGCTGTGGTGGAAGCAGCACGTGAGTCTTGGATTGTGCGCACCACTTCCTGAGAGAGGCCCATCGTCTCTAAGCGGATCCGCTCAGCGGCAAGACCCAAAGGTGTTGGCCTATTTCTGGGTAACTCCTGATTGCTCCTCCTGCTTGGAGGAGAGCATCGTCCCTCCACGGCAGTTTCCACGGTCGACTCGATAACAGACATCTCAAGTTTGGGAACCACGGGGCGCTCACGCACTCGGGGGCTACAAGAATGGCTGACAGTTCTTCCTCCCGGACTCTGTTCAGAAACCGTGATATTAGAGGGACTGGAGGGAATGCGTAAAGGAACATTTTTGTCCACGGGCTATGGGCAAAGGCGTCCACTCCTAACGGTGGGTCGTCCCGTGGGCTCAGTGAGAACCATAGTTGACACTGGGTGTTCTCCCGTGTGGCAAACAATTCCACTGCTGTTCTGCCGAACCTGCTCCAAATCTGAGAGATAAGCTCAGGATGAAGATTCCAGTCCCTGTGGCGTGGACCGCCCCTGGACATTATAGCTGCTCCTCTGTTCAGGACGCCGGGGATGTACACTGCTCTGATGGAGAGCAGGTTTTTGTGAGCCCAACACAACAACTGCCTCGTAATGCGTAACAGTTGGGCTGAGCGCACGCCCCCCTGCCGGTTTATGTAAGCTGCAGTCACTTTGTTTTCTGTGTGAATCAGAACATGCTGATTTCACAACAGGGGAGCAAAATGCTGAATCACATTCCAAACTGTGAGACATTCCAAAATGTTTATATGAGTTGATGTGTGAGGTGGCCACAGCGCCCCCACCGCTTGAGACATGCACGTTCCTCCCCAGCCTGACAGGGACGCGTCTGTGAAAACTGAGACGTGTGACGTAGGTCTGCTGATGGGAACTTCCTCTGACAGAGTGAGAGGGTTTCTCCAGTGCTTCAGGTCGGTTCTCACGGAGGGGGGCACAGAGATCATACGTCTCTTCTGACGTACCGGATCTATGCGCAGGCGAGCGAACCATCTCTGAAGGCATCTCATGTGGAGTAAGCCCAGCGGAACCATAGCGTGAGCTGACGACATCTTTCCCAACAGTTTCATGATAGCGACGGCCGTTACTACTCTGCTGGGTTTTACGCGGCAGAGCTGGTCCTTTAGAGCTTGGGCTCTCGTCTGTGATAAATGGGCCCTCATAGTGACTGAGTTTAGCTCCACTCCCAGATAAACGATCATCTGGGCCGGGAGAACCAAACTCATCTCCAAGTTTATGGCGAAACCCAGGTTTAACAGATGTGACGTCAGCGCTTTGGTTTCTGCAGCTGTTTCCTGTCTGGATCGGGTCAGCAGCAGCAGATCGTCCAGATAGAACAAAATTCTCATCCCTGCTCTGTGTAGCGGCTGCAGAGCCGTTTCCACGCATTTCGAAAATGTGCGTGGTGCCAGGGAATAACCGAACGGGAGCCTGTTTTACTGGTACTGGGTCCCTTGGAAGGAGAAGCGCAGGAACTTTCTGTGTTTTGGAATGATTGGTATGTGAAAATAGGCATCTTTTAGATCGATGGAAGTAAACCAGTCGTTCTGGTGAATGTTGTCCAACAGCTGTCTGGTGGTGAATGTTGTCCAACAACTGTCTGGTTGTTAGCATGTGGAATTGTCTCTCCATGATTGAATTATTGAATACGGATAAGTCCGAAATGGGTCTCATTCCTCCGGTCCTCTTTGGAACCAGGAAGTAATGTAGTGGTGCAGTTTCATCAGGTGGCGCACAGTCTCTGACACCTCCTCCGACTTCTTCGACTTTTCAAGCATGGTCTTGAAATTAGCCCCGAACAGCACGTCCGTCGTGATGGGGCCCTCCAGCAGGTCTTTCTGCAGTTTCTCCGGCAAGGAGTGTCGGAGACAGGTGGACCTCTGGATCATTGTCATCCAGGCGGTGATGTGAGACAGGCAGACCACAGAGGAGGCGCACAGGTTGAGAATGATGTCAGACACTTTGCAGAGCGAGCTCCTCTGGCAGGTCTGTGTCCCCCAGCCTTTTGGAGATGCTATAGGCCAGCAGGGCGACATTGTTGTTCATTGCGGCCACCTGGAAAGCACACTGGTGGGCTTGGTTGGAGAGCGATGTCACTGTCTGGTCGTGTCTCCCTGGAGGGACAGAACGCTGGTCCAACCTGGACACTTTTGCTCTGAGTGCTTCCGCCAGGCTTGGCTCCGGGGGGGTACTGAGGGAAAATTCCGCTCAGTAAACCCCTCCACTCTGGTGATGGGAGCGAAGGTGGAGATGGGCGCCTTCAGCCTACCAGGTCCAGCTGCAGCCTCGTTCCAGTAGGACGTTACTGCTGGGAAACGAGGCCAGATGGAGTCAGGGTAGCGAGCCAGGGTGGAGCTAAACCTTCCTGCTAGATCATCCAATCTGGGCGGGGGAGGAGAGGGACGGAAAGTCCCTTCATTTCAGCCGCCTCCTGAATTATGCCGGGCAGCTCTGAGAGAAGGGCACCGACAGCTGGGAGCGGTGTGTTCGCTGATGCGGAAAGGCCTGGGGGGGGTGAGCATCCGCTCGGCCCCCCCGTTCCAACACTATGCTCTCCAGGAGGGAATGAGCAGCGGGGCTGCTGCTGACGTCGCCTTTCCTGGAAGAATCAACGGATTTGCTCCATGACTTGGCGTCAAAAAAGGCGATTTTGTCGTCCAGCGAACAGTCCCCTGTCACGGAGAGGCACTCCTTGATGTTGGCCTTGAACAAGGCTGCTCGCCTCTGCCTCTCCTCAGGAGGGAGGAGGTCACAGAGACGGCAGGAGGAGGCGAGGTCGGCGTTGCGGGGATCCAGGCATCCTTCACAGTTGTCGTGCCGGTCGAAGCTCAGCATGTAGCCGGTTTTGCAGGACGGGCACAGGCAGATGGTGCTGGTGCTGGACATCGTGTTCTTGTAAAAAACAGTGCTGGTTGCTTGCTGAAGAAAAATGGGAGCCAATTACCTGGTCTCACCATAATTTATACGGACCGGGTGAGGCCCACACAGCAGGTGGGCGTAGACTAAAGTTTTCAGCGCTGCGCTTCGCGCGACTGGAATGAAACCCACCAGCGACAGCCTTAAAGGGCGAAGCCTATACAACATAGAACATCCCCAAATGTTCAATGCTGAGCAGAAGTTTTGAGCCATTCCTCTTATTTTCATGCTGCCTTCAAGGAGGTGGACTCTCTTGGTAAATTTTCAGTGGTCAAATGTTCTTTGGGCTTTCTAAAGGTCTTTTAAAGTTTGACTGTGTGTTTGTACAGATGAAAGGTATTTTCACTTCTCTTCACTCTGGGGAACAAAACAAACAACAATCTGAAACAGAACCCTAGAGCTGCATCATCCTTTAAGTGATCATTGACTGTATGGGATAATTAGGACAATATCTCTTCCAAAGTCACCGTTAAAGCTAAAACACCATTTTATGTCAAACTAATTTTTTTTAATTTTTGTCCATTTAGCCAATAAAATTAACACAAGTGGTGCCTTAACATCCTTCTACCAATATATCCACTGTCCCTTCTCTGGACATGTCCAAACCACTGTCCCTCCTCTGGACATGTCCAAGCCATTTCAGTCTGGCCTCTCTACTTTATCTCCCAGTTGTTCAACCTGTGCTGTACCTCTGATGATCTCATTCCTAATCTTATCCATCCTTGTCACTCCTAAGGAGAACTTCAACATCTTCATTTCTGTCACTTCTAGTTCTTTCTCCTGTCCTTTTGTCCATGTGTCTGTCTCCAGACCATACTGGCTATATATGCTGGTTTCACCACTGTCTTGTAAACTTTTCCTTTGACCTTTGCTGACACTCTTTTGTCACAAATCACTCCTGAAACTTTTCTCCATCCTGCCTGGACTCTCTTTTTCACCTCTTTGCTCCCCCATTGTCCTGGACAGTGGACCCCAAGTACTTGAAGTCCTGCACTTTGTGACCTCTGCTCCTGGTATCCTCACTGTTCCACCAGCCTCCCTCTCATTCACACACATGTACTCTGTGAGGTTGTTTTCACACCTGATAGTCTGGTAGACTCGGTTCGGTTGGGGACCAATATTCATAACATTTTGTTTACATTTGAGCTGGTGCGTTTGCATTCACACTGCACTGTGCAGTCGAGCCAACCCCTTGAACCAACCTGTTTCCCCACTTGCCTGTGGGGACGCTGCACCAAGAACTACTGAAAAAACGACACAAAAACCTCTGAAGAAGACACTTCTTCTTCTTCTTCTGGAAATAATAACAAAAACGGAGTGACATCAAGTTTTAGCAGTTTTAGAAGTTATATTTTGTCATTTTTCAAAAATGGACTCAGCATGAGCAGAAGATGAGGCAGAAGACCATGGAGAATGTTGTTTTTCACATAAGGCAGCTGACGGCTCCATATAAGGTAAGAGAAATGTGTGTTTGTTTGCCCTGCGCTGTACTCCACTTCTTGCTTGTGGAGCGGGGCCCGGTCTGATTGCATTCACACTGCACTCGAACCGCGCTGGAGTTCTCTTCTACCGGACCGAGACCTAGGTTTTAGCCCGGGCCAGAGTTCGCCTTTTTGTTCCGTGACAGAGTTCGATGGCGCGTTCACACCTCCCCAAACGAACCGGACTTCCTAGGAAAACGAGCTAGAGTTCGATTAAAGCGGACTAAACAGGACTGGTGTGAATGCACCCTGAGTGGACAATCAGATAATGTTTGAAAAACCTGGAGATTCAGTGCTTCAGACATTACAAGAAAATCTTGTTCTATTGATGCAAAACATAAAAACTTGCAGGTGGCTCAAGACTTCTGACTGACACTGCTGCCCCTGTGACGGGTACCGTTTCTTTTATTGGCACATCCACGTGTTCTCTGTGTTCCTCCTCAGATGTGCCCATCTCATTTGAGCCTGATGGGAGCAACAAAGTGATCCTGCTGACCTCTGGGCAGCTATGGTGCTGCGTGTCCTGGGGGGTCGGAGAAGCCAACACACCACTTGCACCTCCTGCTTCCCAACAGCCTGGTGGTGTACGCAGGTAGTCTAAAGAAATGATCCACTGACTCAGAATCATTTAAAGGTTTAATTGAGAGGTTTCCAAGATGGGGTCAGAAGATCACAGAGGTGAGCAATAGTGCAGATCTGTACAAATTCAGGACTGAATTAAAGGTCCAGAATTTCATCAAGAAATGCAAATCTACCACCAAGTTTTATACTATAGTATGAAACTAAGACCATCTTATGCTGAGAAATAATCAAATAATAGCTGTGTTGTCAATTTTAAGGTTGTTTAGTTGTGGTGGCCATCTTGAAAAGTTGAACTGTTTTAGATTCAACAGTTTCTTGGTTTTTTTTTTTTACATTTATCCTGTGGTTCTTGAAATATTTTGCTAACAGCAACACAGGGTTGACTCTAACCGTTAATTCTATTAGTTTTAAACAAAATGTCATGCCACGTGTAGCACTCAGAAGTGTTGGGAATCAGTCTCAGCTAATAACATGCCAGATTTTAACTCAATACCTGTAGGATTCACTGAAAGGGTGTGGTGGCGCAGAGGTTAGAGAAGATTGCCTGTGATCGGAAGATTGCTGGTTCAACTCCTGGTACCGACAACATCAAAATGTGGGTGGGATAGGTGGAACAGGATAGGTGAAACACCCACACCTGCCTCCACCCTCATTTGCCCCACTCTGGACCCTTGACCAAAACCCTTAACCCCCACCATCTGCTCCTCCGGGTGCCCTAGATAGCAGCTCTCTGCTCCACACAGAGGGCTGTGGTAGCTTGGTGATCTCTGGTTGTGTCAGGAAGGACATCCGGCTTAAAAAGAATTGCGAAGTCTTTGTGCGACTTAGTTCACTGTGGCGACCCCTAATGCAGGGAGCAGCTGAAAGAAAAAAAAATCTGTAGGATTCACTGAGTTAGAGCCATTTTTAAAGCAAACTTGAAATTGTATTGACTCTGAAAGTTTTGACGATGTATATGATAAGTGATTATTTTCTGAGAATTTAATTAAAATGCATCTATTTGTTTTGTTAACAGACAGAGAAACACACGCGCGCGCGCACACACACACACAGTTGCTCATGCACAGACATGGACATTAATGGCTGCCTTTCAGCAGCAGGTGAAAATTACTAATCATTAAGGCTCCAGTATACTCGGAAGTACGTCAGTCCGCGGAGGCCCTCACGTACCGGATTAGAGTCGAAGCAGACGCATGCAGGGCATGTTTGTGCAAAGCTCAATTTTTATGACTGCGTACGCGTACTTGATGTCACACAATAAACTGCCCGGCGACGGACTGTTTTGTATGCGACACCAATTAATGGCCTTTTCTTTTGTTTTGTTTTTTCCAAGAGGCAAGCAATCTCTTCCTCCTCCTCCAATGACGCCATGACTGAAATTGTGAGAAATTAAGGAATTTGTTACGAGCGAATTAAAATCAGGTCCAGCGTGGCTGCAGGAGGGCCTGGAGATTTCCTGGTGGGCTGGTCTGATGCGTGGGCTCCAGGGCCAGCGCTCCCTGTTTTTTTTTTTGTGTATTTTTTTTAGAACTTTTTATTAACAACATATATACACAGAACACTGCTGCCAGCTCTTGTTTTTTTTTTTTCCTATCTGTCACTCAATCCAGTAGGCGTGTCAGCAAATGACCAGTCGGCAACCTCAATTTGTCCCGAAGGTAAACGTCCCTTGTAGAGCTTTAACAGACTACTCGAGTAATCTACACATCGATTCCTAGGACACCTATCGAGTTTTTTAATTTCATGTTGAGTATTCGTGGTGACGTCATTACGCCACCTTTACGTCATTACGTCACGTGTCACGTGATCCGCACCGGGCGCGGGTTACAAAATAGATTCCTCCAAGCAGACAGATGGAGCAGATCAGGTCCAGTCTTGACAAACAGGTAGAAATGCATCAGTAGTCTGGAAATATTTCACTAAAGATGAATCTTCCGGTTCAACTACCCTAAGGAAACAGAAAATGAATCAACTTCCTGACTGTTTTGGAGCACGTTGCGAACCGTCGTTACACCATATTTTGTGATCATCGTATATTGTGACCGTAGGGGGCGGTGTTGCATGCACTGTTGCAGGTCACAGAATTTGGTGTAACATCGGGTCCAATCGACTGAACCAGAACCAGCTTCCTCTGACCTTGTTTCACAACCAAAAACAAAAAATATTAATCTCTAAACCTATCAAAAAATCTATTTAAACATATTAATCTCTAAAACTAAACTTAATGCTCACCACAGCTGGTAGTGGTGCGAGGTGGTCGACCCCCCCCCCCCCCCCCCCCCGACCCCTGGTTTTAGTTTCGTTTCTGACGTGCCGCACGTTTCTTCACTTTTGCAGCTTAATAATAATAACTAATAGTTTTGTTTTTCCTGTGGCTTATTTGTTGTACGATAAATGGTAAGAGCATAATATACGCTCCCAATGTTTTGTTGGTCTTTTTTTGTTGTTGTAAATAATAACATTTTCAGGTGTGCCCAACCAGTCGGTCGCCCGCGAGCTGGTTCCCAGTCGCCCGCAAAGCGAAACCTTGACTTGTATTCTCACAGACATAGTCTCGCGAGTTTTGTGTGCGGTGACACAGCGCTCTCACGAGACTTTAGGCTCAGTAGTGGAGTAATGTCGGTGCGCAGAAAACATGGATGGAAAACTAGCGAACAAGCAAACAAAAACATTATTTTCACACAGAGTGGGAGGAGTATTTTTTTGTTTATTCTAATTCGAAGTCCATTTGCCTCATCTGTAATTCGAGCGTTGCCTTACCCAAAAAGTGTAACTTGGAGCGGCATTTCAAGACGATGCACAAATGGTTTGAGACAGATTTCCCTCTTAAAAGTTCTTTACGGACTCAGAAAGTGCGGGAGCTAAAAAACAAGCTTGCAGCCCAGCAATCAGTCTTCACTCGGCCCAGCACAAAAGGTAAAGCTGCTACGATAGCTTCCTACCGTGTTAGCCGCATCCTGGCTCAACATAAGAAGTCTTTCAGCGATGGACAAGTTATGAAAGAAGCGTTTATTGAGGCTGCAGATGCGCTTTTTCATGATTTTAAAAATAAAAGTGAGATCGTAGCTGCTATTAAAGACGTGCAGTTGTCCAGACAAACAGTGACACGGCGATGTGAGGGAATGGCTGTGGATGTGGAGGAGCAGCTAAAAAAGGACGTGGAACAATGTGAGTGTTTCTCTCTTCAGTTTGATGAGTCGACAGACATGGTGGATGTAGCCCAGCTGTGTGTTTTTATCAGAATGGCCTTTGCAGACATGAGTGCAAAAGAGGAGCTGCTCACCATCTTGCCTTTGAAGGGACACACAAGAGGAGAAGATATTTTTAATGCGTTTATGGAGTTTGTTAATAAAAGCAACTTGCCCCTCTTTAAACTAATTTCTATAACAACTGATGGCGCTCCAGAAATGACTGGTCACACCAGTGGATTTGTTGCACTCTGCAAAATGACATTGGGATCAAATCCAGAGCATCACCTGGCGTGGATGGAGAGTTCTGGAGTCTGCTGTCAGAAGAAAAGTATCCTAACATCCGAAGATGTGCTTTGAACTTAACAGCACTTTTTGGATCTACCTACCTGTGTGAGTCTGCTTTTTCACACATGAAAATCATCAAGTCCAAAAACAGATCCACAATGAATGATGATCATCTGGAGACCTGCCTGCGCCTCGCAACCACCTCATACTGCCCAGCTTATGAGACCCTGGCCTCCTCCTCTCAGTGTCAGAAGTCCCACTAAGGTAGAGACACATTTATTTTATACAGCTTGCATAAAAAGTTGTCTCCTATAGACACATCACGTTCTGTTTTATTTACTTTAAATAAGTGAGGAGTAGGGATTGATGAAAAATTATGTTTGTTGATAATGAGACTGGACGAGTAGCTCTCGGCAAATTGCCGACTTCAAAAGTAGCTCTTGGTTCAAAAAAGGTTGGGCACCCCTGCTTTAGATCCTTTGATGTCATCAAGTACTCAAGTTCTACTTGAGTTGTATTATGTTAATGTCGAGTTTAAAAATGATGTAGTCGTTCAACCCCTAGTCCCTTGTCTGCGGAGCTGTGTGCAGCCGCTCAGGGTGGATGCCCAAGTATGAATTCTCAACACTTTTCGGACAGTGCGCACAGTTTCCGCGCAGACTGAGGACATCAGAAGTGCATCAGAAAGCGCTGATGATGTCCATTTAACTGTTGCTTGTTTGGTTGATGGAACGCAAATAATAAAATAACTATTAAAAGATTTTAAGATTGTATTAAAGACTGTAAATCAAACATGAACAACTGACTCACACCCGTAAGTCAAAGATGAAAAGAAACAAGAACTCCTAATGGGCTAAACCCAGTAAAACTTTTAAAGCTTGCCTTTTCATATAAATTAATGAAACGATTTCCTGGTAAAAAAAATAAGAATACACTTCATATAATTTGTTCTAGGTTAGTTTGTTGATTTATTTAGTTCTTACCTTGTTGCCGATTGTTCACATATTAGTTTTTAAATGTTATTTATTGTACTTGTCGCTGTAACGTTGCACCACCGCATAAGTCGCATCAATCCAAACATGTCTAATAAAGTGGAAAAACATAAATACGTCGCTTCGCCGTATACGTCGCATCTATTATGCATCACTGCTGACACGTCGCGTTTCTTACGCGTCACCGCTGACCACCTAGAAACGTGGGCCAGCATTGTGCCAAAAAATCCATTGTCTGCCAAATGGTGGCCACGGGAGCGTGCACGGGAGGACTTTAACAAGAATCTAACAAGATTAATTCAAATCATTTCAATTCAGTTTATTTATATAGTGCCAAATCACAACAAAGTTGTATCAGGGCACTTTACAGGAACATTCACATACATAAAAGCCAATTAGTAAAGTTCTCTATCTAAGGAATTCAGCAGACAAGTTGAATCTTGGATTTGTTGCAGTCTCCCATCCTGAGCAAGTACAGTGGAAACAGTGGAAAGGAAAAACTCCATTTTTAAAAGGAAGAAACCTCCAGCAGAACCAGGCTC